CTATCAAGTTTCTCTGAAATTCTTTGATGGTGTGTTAGTGAAACACAGCTGGGTTAAAGAAACATAATCTTTACAAAAAAGAGGGAAACTCATTATGCAAGTGTTAGATCATAGAGAAAATGGAGATTCCTCTGAGTCATACAGATCTCTGATGAATAGTTATTTATTGATGACTAGATCTCTTACACAGCTATTTGAGAATCACAATCTAATTAATAAGATACATGTAAGCTAAGTTATATATTATGGCAGTGTGAATCCTTTTCCCCTTAATTTCCTTATCTACAGTAGAAACTAAATAGCAACAATTTTAGAATGGCTTTAAAGAACATTGTTACTGGCTTATATCTACATGTACCATCAAAGCCTCATGTGGTCATAGGTGTGGAATTTCAAAGGTTTCTAGATCAGGATGTATGAATATGAATTAAGGGTGGGATCCTGGGATTAAGGGTGTGGATAATGGAAGCCCTATCTAGTGTGGTTGCACCAATCAATAGGCAGCCTTGCTGGTGCTGCTTGTGGCTCACTGTCTTCTGCTTTCATGCTATGGACTATTTCTCCTATGTGATGCTCCTCTGCTATGCCACCCTGACTTGGAGCCAGCTGACTGTGTACTGAAACCACTACAGATAAACCTGTCCTATTTTAACTTGTGGGTGTCTGATATTTTGTCTGAGCAACAAGAAAAGTAACTAAGACAAACAAGATAATGCTTGCAAACAATATGTTTTTTGGTATACAATAGGCATTTTAAAACTGATAGTCATTATGATGATTGCCATTTATAACAAAATGTCAGTGCAACATTGGAATTATGTTGGGGCTTAGTAATTTGAGGGATGAAGAGAGAAGGAGCCATTATGTTTTGAAAGAAAGGATAAGGAGAAAGGTTTCACTGTAGTGGTAGATATGATGGTTTATTTTGTAGCAAAAAAAGAGCACAATAAAAAGATAAGACAGTATAGCAAAATAAACCTAAAATGTGAATAGTTTAGATACCAAAGTGAGGAATACAGAATAAGAATAGGAGACAAGCCTACAGCATGGACACAGACTAGATTGGGAAGTAGTCAGGGGAAGAAAAACAGTAATCCTTGAGTATCTCCACTTATGATGCAATACTTAGATATATTATAGGTTGAACTTTTAAAATCCAAAATCCAAAATTTTCTAAGTGCTGATATAGTACCTATTTTAGTTAGGGTTATCTGAAGGAACAGAATCAATAGAAAATAATGTATAATTATATTAGGATTTGTAGGATAGGCTTTTAGGATCAGAGGCAGAATAGTCCACAATTGCTTCCTGTGAGATTAGAGGTGGAAGAATCCACAATAGCTGTCTCAAACTGAAAGGTCAGAAGATCCAGTAGATGATCAGCCTGATAAAATACAGCACCAACATGTTGTTGAAGGCAAGGCAGCTCATTGTAGAGTCACCTATGTGATTCTACTCTAGATGGCTGAAGAAACTGGAGAATAGTGTTCAAAAGCAATATCAAAGACTGGAGTTCTTCTTTACTTTTCTATTCCAACTGCGCTATATTGGTCTACGTTACCTACATTTGCGGTAAGTCTCCCCACCACCTCATTTTGCTGGATTTAATATCAGTCATCCAGAGACAAATATCCAGAGAAATGTGTTTTAATAATCTCCTAGGCAGTTCTTACTCAAGCAAAGATAACTCATCACAATTTAATCATAATCCATTCTTTGTCACCTTGAAAAATATTTCCCAAACCATGTTTAATCTCCAAATACAATATCATTTATAATTATGGCAAACATGATACATCTATTCTGCTTAGAAACAGAAATGCATTAATTCCCTACTCAGAATAGAAGACCAAGATTTTTTTCTTTTGATGATGCTTACTCTTCCCCTAACATTTCATAACTTACATATAATGTAGATTTATATTCTCCTGAAAATTCTCCTGAAAATTACAATATAATAACTGGTCATATAGTCCTAGCTGATATTTATAAATACCTTCTATTAGTCATTCTGTATTCTCCTGGCCTTCAGCAAACAATTCAGCAGGTCTTGTTTTTTTATTGTTTATTGTTACTTTTAAAGTATATAGTACAGTTACATTTATCATTGGAATCTTGTACCTTTACATGGCAGATCTTGGTTCTAATTTTTCCCCATACCCCTACCCTCCCTTCACCACCCTCCCTATTTACAAAGACTTCATTTCCATTTTTCCATTTTCTTATATTTTTTCTTTCCCTTTATATCTTTTCCCCTACTCTTCCCAATTCCCCTACACCTTTAGTCTTTTTCTTTCTATTCCACATTGTCAATTATACCATTAGGGTCATATTTACACTTTTAGCTTCTCATGCCAAAGAAACTATTTGGTATTTACACCTGTGTGCCTTGTTTATTTAACTTAAGAGGATGGCCTCAATATGCATCCATTTTCCTAGGAATAACTCTAGTTTCTCATTCTTTATGGCTGAATACTACTCCATTTTATAGAAAAACCACAATTTCTTTAACCAGTCTCCAAATGATGGGCAATTGAGCTGTTTTCAAGTTTTAGCTATTACAAACTATGCCACTATAAACATGGGAGCAGATACATCACAATGGTATGATTCCTTTAATTCTCTTGGAAAGATACCCAGCAGAAGGATAGCATGGTCAAATGGAACCTCTAGTCCTAGTTCTTTGAGGTATCTCCATGTTGATTTCCTCAGTGATTGCACCAAGTCTCCACTCCCAACAACAGTGGAGAAGGGTTATTTTCTCCCCAAAACCTGCCAGCATTTTTCATTGGTTGATTTCTTGATAGCAGCCATTTTTTGTGGGGTGAGGTGGAATCTCAGTGTTGTTTCCATCTTCATCTCTCAAATGACCAATGATGCTAAACATTTTTTCATATATTTATTTGCTGACTTCTTTGTCTGAGAAATGTCTGCTCATTTCAGATGCCCATTTTTGAATTGGGTCTTTGTATTAGGAGGTCATATGTTTTGAGTTCTTTATATATTCTATATAGTTCTTTGTCTGAGGAGCAGCTGTTAAAACATTTTCCTCACAATTGTAGGTTGTCTCTTAGCTCTGTTGGTCATTTCTTTCATATTTCAGAAGCTTTTTAATAAGATGAGATCCCAGTTGTTGATTCTATGTGCTAGTTCCCATGCTGAGGATTTGCTCATAAAGTATTTTTTATGCTGATATCTTTAAGAGTTCTACCTAATTTATTTTCCTGCAAGTGTAGTGTTTCTTTTTAAATATTTAGATCTTTAATCCACTTGGATTTTAGTTTAGTACATGGTGAAAGATAAGGCTTTAATTTGTTGTTGTTGTTGTTGTATTTTATTTTTGGTACTGGGGATCAAACTCAGGTCCTTGCTCTTGTGAAGCAGGCACTGGAATCACTGGGCTAAATCCACAGCTCAATAAGGGCCTAGTTTTAATCATGGCAGGTTGAAATCCAGTTTTTCAACACCATTTATTAAAGAGGTTATCTTTTCTACACTAAGGATGGTTGGCTCCTTTGTCAAAGATGAGGTAGCTGAGTACATCTAGAGTTGTTTCTGTACCTTCTAATCAATTCCACTGATCCTTGGGTCTTTTTCTTTGATAGTACCATGCTGCTTTTATCACAGAGGCTTTGTAGTATAGTTTAAAGTTGGGAACTGTGATACCCGCTGCCATGTCTGTTTCCTAGAATTGCTTTTGCTATTCTAGGTCTTTCCAGGTTCCCAATGAATTTTTGGATTATTTTCTCTAGTTGTGCAAAGTATACTGTTGAAATTTCATTTGGGATTGCATTGAATCTGTATAGCAATTTTGGTAGTATGGCCATTTTCATTATGTTGATTTTTCCTACCCAGTATCAGGGGATATATTTCCATTTTCTTATATTCTCTTTGATCTCTTTTTTCAGAGTGCTATAGTTTTCAGTGTAGAGGTCTTTTGCTTCTTTCATTAGATTGATTCCTAGATACTTCATTTTTTGGATGCTATTGTGAAAGGAATTTTTTCTCTAATTTCTCTCTCAGTGAGTCTGTTATTTGTGTACAAGAAGGCTATTTATTTTTGAGTGTTGACCTTGAATCCAGCTACTCTGATCAAAGTTTCAACTAAGTCTAGAAGCCTGTTTGCAGAGTTTTTTGGATATTCTTTGTAGCGCATCATATCATCAGCAAATAATGACAGTTTAAATTCTTCCTTCCCTATCTTTATTGCTCTAATTTCTTTCTCTGGTCTAATTGCTGTGGCTAATGTTTCCAGAACTATATTGAAGAGGAGTGGTGATAGTGAACATCCTTATCTTGTTCCTGATTTTAACATGAAGGTTTTCAGTTTTTGGCCATTTAATATGGTGGTGGCTCTTGGTTTTTTTATAGATAGCCTTTATTAAATTGAGATATAGACCATCTACTCCAATCTTTTGCAGGGTTTTTATCATGATGGAAATGGTCCAATTTAATCAAATTGCCACTAGATTGTAGGCTGATCATTCCAAGGAATGATGCCATATCAGGGACTCAATGTTAGTATTTGTTGCTGGCATATGGGTCATTCAGCAATGGCTGTAGCCAGTTCAGCCTTGGTAGCCCATTTATAACCTCAATCTCTGTCACCATGGCCATTTTGTTCATGAGTCTTTTGGGAAATGACAAGCTTGGCTGGAGAAAGAAGTTAACTGCTATCCACAGAATAAGTTATCTTGTACATTTGACTACTAAAGTCTTCTTCTGCTGAGGCAATATTTTTGTGAACAGTTACATGGGACAAAAATATTTTCACAACCTTCATATTTATGGAGAGGTCTAGCCACATATTCTTGCCCATATGTCTTTGTAACAAATTTCCAATCATATTCTTTCCATGTCCTTTACTATTTAGACAGACCCTTGTCTAATGCCCATGAATAAATATAGTCATGTATTTGGCCAGTTCTTCTAGGCAAGATTTATGACTAGATGTACTGCTTAAAGTTCTGCCCACTAAGAAGATTTCCCTTCACCACTGTCCTTCATGTATGTCCCTCAAGTGGGTGATACTGGTGCAGCTGCCCACTTTAGGATGATGCCTGCATAAACAAAACAAAACAAAACAAAACAGAAGAATCTATAAGCCACCCTCTAATCTTATCTTTCTCTGACACATGATGACAGAGTATACCATCATGAAGCCACAGGTACATACTGGTTTGTATAACAGAAATAGGAGCCATGGGGATATGCGCCATTTTTTCTTTTAATTTAGTTGTACATTTAGGACTCACTGAGACCCAGTTATGTATGTACCTTTTTTTTTAAAGAGATGTGCTGTACAAATCTGTAATGCAGAGAGACAAACACTCGAGTGACTACTGTTTTACTTCATTCCAGGAGTGGAGTTGATTGCCACACCAGGGCAGTGCTAGCTGCTTTCTCTAAGAAGTAACATTTTGATCCTTATTTACGTTTGGTTTCTCAAATCAGAGAAACTATTTGGTATTTACACATGGATGTCCTATTTGTTTCACTTAAGGGTATTACCACAATGTGTATACATTTAACTATAAAGGTCTCTAATTTCTCATTCTTTGTAGGTGAATAGTACTCCATTTTAATTTTTTTAAAAAAACACATTTTCTTTACCCAGTCTCCAGTTGATGGGTGCACATATATTGCTGTGGTATGTGCACTTCCAGCTTTACAACAGGGTGGATCAGAAAGCACCCAGTTCACGATGGGAAGCTCAGGTTGCAAGATAATGGTTGAGCATTCATTTTCCACTAAGGCCCAGTAGTAGTTTCTCAATGGGAGAGTAATTGCCTGCAAATGATGGCAAAGCCTTTCTGCAGAATCCTAAGGGTCTATCTATGGGGGTCTCACAGAGCCTCAAGGAAGTTTCCCTCTCTGCTCCAGACACCTCAAATACCAATGGATCTGCTGGATCATACAGTTTAAATGACACAGCAGCCTTCACAGTAGGCTGGATCTGTCCTATTTAAACTAGAGGCTGTTAGAATTACTCAGTAGGTAAATGGGCTAGAGTAACACACCCACGTGAGGAATATGATGCTTCCTAAATCCAAGTAGGCTCACTAGGCTTTATGCCTCTTTTTTGGTTGTAAGAGGGGCCAGATGCAACAGATTATCCTTTACTTTAGAAGGGATACCTCCACATGCCCCACAGCATTAGACTCAGTAATTTCACTAAGATGGAGGGACCTGAAATTTTAGTTGGATTTATTTTCCATATTCTGACATGCACTTGACTTGCCAACAAGTCCAGAGTAGTTACTACCTCTTGTTTACTCAGTCTGGTTAGCATAATGTCAAAACAAAATGGACCTATGTGATACTTTGTAGAGGAGAAAGATGATCAAGATCTCTCTGAATTTAGTTGTGACCCAGGGCTGGAGAATTGATATAACCCTGAAGTAGGACAGTAAATTTGTATTGCTAGCCTTGCAAGCTGAAAGTAAATTGCTTCTGGCGAATCTTATGGGTAGGTATGGAAGAAAAGCATTCACGAGATCAACAGTTGCATATCAGGTACCATGAGATAGGTTAATCTTCTCAAGAAAGGAAGCTATATCTGGTACAACAGCTGCAACTGGAATCGCCATTTGATTAAGCTTTCAGTAAACTACTGTTTTTATCTAAGATCTATTCTTCTTCTGTACATGCCAAATAGGAATGGTAAATAAGGATGTGTTGGGAACTACCAGCCTGCATCTTTCAAGTTCTTGACAATGGCATCCCTCAAGGGATGCAATATTGTTTTTTATTTACTATTTTCCTAGGTAAAGGCAACTCTTGTAGCTTCCATTTGACCTTTTCCCCCATAATAGCCCTCATTCTACAGGTTAGGAAACTAGTATAAGAATTCTACCTTTTACCAAGTAAAGCCATCTCAACTATGCATTCTGGAACTAGGGAAATGAATGAGCAAAGGATGGACTTGGGAGAGTATTAAACCCACTATGAATCAGAAATTGGCTAAAACTCCATAAGCCCCTACTGTTACTGGAGAGCTGTAAAGATGTTTTGGATCTTTTACAGTCAGCATTAGTCAGAACCAGTGTTCAGTAGTTCCCAAATTGTTTGATCATTTCCTATTTTCCAGTGTATGGTTGTCCTGGTAAAAGGTCTCATGTTCCTTTGTGGCAGGATGGGAGAAAGGTTGACACTATAACTTTTTGGCAGTACACTATGACCATTCCACAAGGGGACCTATCCTCCTCTTTATTTGAGGGGTTCTGGATCTGAAAATGGCTAAAATCTGGGAACTAGTTGGGCTGTGCTTCTCTATTGCTATAATTTGTTCATTTGCCCTAAACTATTTCTGCTTACATAAATCTAGTAAAATCTTAGCTGCCTTCCTGTTTCACTCCTAGTATCATTATAATTAATTAACCATTCCCATAGGTCTACACGTCAGGCTATTCTGATCAGGGCTTTGCTTCTTCTTTCTATTATGGTATATCCACATTGCTTTTGGCAGTTGAGTACTGCCAGTTTGTCCCTGCCACTCTGGGATCCTATTATACTGCACCATTTTAGTTTCCCAATTGAATGGTTGCAGCCCACCCTAAGATTTGCCACACAGAGAAGCATAATGACGTAGTTTTTCAAGGAACCTCGTGCTCATCTCAATAGTCTGTTTTCAGAGTATTTATGAAGAAGACATTTTTTGGACTCTCCAATGGTGGAGGAGAGTGTTACCTCATGAACAAAATTATTGAAAATAATATAAACAGTTTATGCATGTAAAATCTATGTAAAACATAAATAAACTTTGAGCTTAGAATTGTTTTTCCCCTAAGATATCTCCTTGTCTCAGGATTCACAAATACTCCAAAATCTAAGAAAATCTAAAATATGAAATACTCCCGGTCGCAATTGCTTTATAAAAGAGAAAGTCAACCTATGGTAGAGTATTTTTTCAGAGCAACTTTGCAAGTTAGGCATTACTAACCCTATTTTACAGATGAAAAGGCTAGCTTTGTGGATCACAATACAAATTTGTATATGATTGTCTCAGTGACACCATGAGAAGGAATGGCATAAATGAATGCAGTCATCAAGAAATTTGGGTTCCCCAGAGAGTCTGAGAGAAATGAGACCATGGTGATACCTTACAAGTCTTTTTGAGCAGGATGTCAAGGCCAGTTGGCTGGAACTGGAACCAGGGATATCTGTCATCAGAGAGGTCAAGCATGGCTGGCTGCAGCTAGGGAAGGTTCTCCTGGGGAGACCTGTCATCCAGAGACTACTGGCTTGCTCCACAGCCTGCCCTTGCTCTGCTCATATGCAGGTCCCACAGGATGCTGCAGCAAGTTCATAATGGGAGAAAAGATGGTCTGAGCTAAAGCTCTGCTGTGGAACAAGAACAAACTTGACTGGGGCCAACTGTTTCTAAAATGTATACTTGGTTTTCAAAATAGTCTATAAGCACAGCCCAGAGGAAAGAGGCTGGAGCAGAAAAACAGAGGACAATCTATGAAGATGAAAGCATTACTGGAATTGGAGTTTCATCATAGAACTGAAGTTGCTGAATGTAGGTACTGAAATAATGAAGGGAAGACTATGTGTTTTCTAAAAACATGGAAGCTGGGACTTCTTGGTATGTGACTGGCTGATGCTTAAAGGAAAAGATTTTAGAATCACCTTTCCTGGCTTCCACTTAGCTGTCTGTATATGACTGGACGATGGGGCAGCTCCTGTGGAAAAATGAACCAAAGACGTGAAACTTTGTAAAGAGGGTTGAAACCAATCATAAGAGGTCTCAGAACTGGTCCAACACTGAAGAGTTCACTTAGTCTTCTCCTTTCATTTACATTTTAGGAAACTGAAAGAGAAAAGTGAGTTGCCTTATTGCAGGTCAAATACATTAACTGATCTACTCGCTGGAACCCCCAAATTATGGAATAGAAAAAGGTCAATGACTCTTAAATATACCTACTATAAAAATACCCTACTGTCTCTCTCAAAATATGTTTTGGGGTTACTATGTCAAAAGTCTCTAGTTATCAGAAAGGAACTGCTATATCTCAGGTTAATATTTGAGTAAATTATAGACAGACATTGGGAGAACTGGTGGGAGGGATGGAAAGACTCTGGGTCTCAGCTGTGTCAGATGTTCCTAGAATGTTAACTCAGTGGCTCTTTCACTAGAGAAGGGGCTCTTCCACCACTGTGTACTTACATACAGGTGGTTTCCACTGAGAAGCCTGAAGATTATCTTTGATATTTTTGCATCCAAAATATATAACTCTGATGATTAAGAATAATTTGAGAGACTAAATAAAAGGGTGAACTCTGATGAAATTTAGGCTTTTTTCTTTTGCAAAACATACCACAGATTGCTAATGGGAAATTTTTCCTTCCTTTTATTTTTGGAAATTATCTTTTTGTGCTATTGCTTGTCTTCCTCAAGAGCTAAAAGATGATTATTTTACTTAGCCCTAAAACATGTATAGTGTTTTTGTAAATTAGCAACTTTAATATTTAGCAACAAACACCTTTTGCATTTATAGCATGATTGAGGGCTAGTGCTTTAGCCAATTGGAGTTCAATGTGCAACTCCACCCAACTAATTCCATCCTTAATAAGGGGTTCAGAAAGATGAAAATTACAAACCTCCAAAGTTTGGATGAGAGAATCAATATTGGAGGCAATATTGGAGACAGCTGTTTTGTCATCAGTTATTGAGTATCCTCTATTCTGTCAATTATGAGAGCAATGATAGGACAGGACTGAAGTTACTGATGGTAGTATATAGATTACATATTTTCTTATACATATTCAATATTTACTTGCATCTGTTACAGTAATTCATTGACATTGTTAAAAATCTCAGGAAGTAATTTCCACCCTGAACAAAGCTGAACTGATATCCCAAGAGGTTGACACATTTGAACAAAGGCAGAGTTTGTGTCACAGGCAGAAGTAAAACCATCTCTCTTACCTGGAGTTAAGAGAGCTTCTACATCATCACTTTGGAGAAGGATAAGACATCTGCCAGAGATTCTGAAAGAGCAAAGAGTGGGTGTCAGGGCCAGACACTAGACACCTCTGTCACCTTTGGCAGGTCCACTTGCTGTAATAAAAGCACACCTCTGCCAAGGGGCCTGCAAATTTCCTTTGATATCTTCATATCTGAAACTGGTAACTTTGATGAATGAGGCTATCCCAATGTGACACTGTATGACAGGCAGGAAGGCTTGATCTTTCTTACCTGTGATTAAATAAATAGGCAGGTGACAAATACTCCCAGCCTGTCATGATTTAACTTGGGAAGTTTCCACTGTACAGAGGTGTGAAAGTATACATATATAACCTTTTATTTTTTACTGTTAAGCACTGGAGCTACTCAAACTTTGTTTATATATTAGGTATTGTGTTAGAAGATTTTGCTAATGTATATGTTCCTAACATATTGGTTTTTAATTTTTTGAAAAATAATGATTACATTTTTATGAAGTACAGAGTGATATTTTGATACATTTATAATTATATATTGATTAACCTAGGCTATTTAAGCTATCCATCATCTCAAATACTTATCATTTCTTTGTGATAAGAACAGTCATAATCCTCTCATAGCTCTTTTAAATTATTAGATACACTATTGTTAATTATAGTCACTCTCAGTATACCTTACACATGTTCCTGCTATCAGTTGACTTTGTACCCACTAAGTAATCTCTCTCCACCTCTCTCTGCCTTACTCCTTTGCAGGGTTCTAATAACCACTGCTCAATTCACCATGCTTATGAGATCAATTCTTTATCTTTTCACATAAAGTGAGAACATTCAGTATTTGCTTTATTTCAATTATTTCACATAACATACTCCAGTTCTATCCATGTTCCCCAAAATAACAAGATTTTTCTCTTTTTTGTGTGTGAAAGAATTGTTAGTGTGTCATCATGCATACATACCACAATTCTCATCTATGCATTCTTGGATGGGTATCTTGATAATTCCATACCTTGGCTATTTTGAATATTGTTGTAATAAGCACAGGAGTATGGACATATCTTTGATATTCTGATGCTGGTTCCTTTAGATGTATACCCAGGAGTGAGATTGGTGGATCTTATGGGAGTTGTAGTTTGGGCTTTGTTTGGGGGGGGGGCAGGGGTCACCATACTTTTTACCATATGAGTATGCTAATTTAAATTCTCTGCAGTAGTATTTTAGAGTTCCCCTTTTCTCGGTATCCCTGCAAATACCTGCCATTTTCAGGTGATCTTTTAAATAGTAGCCATACTGGCTAGGGAAAGATGATCTTTCACTGTGGCTGTAAACTGCATTTTCCTGATAATTATTGATGTTGAATTTTTTTGAACATTAGTTCATGATTTTGTATCTAGTTTTGAGAAATACCTGTTCAGATTACTCCCTATTTAAATTGAATTATATGTATTTTATTGTTGTTCATATTTTTAAATTCCTTATATGTTTTAATTCCTTTTCATAAAATAGTTTTTAAATACTTTCTCCCTTTCTGTATGTATTTTTCTTTATTGATTTTTTTTGCTATATGAAAACTGTTTAGTTTTATGTAATTCTATTTGTCAACTTTCTTTTGTTTCATGCTTTTACATCCTCGTCCAAAAAATTCTTGCCTAGACAAATGTCATGGAGTGCTTTCTTCTTGGAATTTTATAGTTTCAGATCTTACATTTATATCTTTAGTCCACTTTAAGTTGATGTCCTGTACATAGTAAGATACAGACTTTGTATCTCTTTCCTCTATAAGGGGATATCTAGTTTATTCAGCACCATTTATAAGAGATAGTGTTTCTGCATAGGTTCTTAATTTCTTTGTCAGAATCATTTGGCGGTGACTGTTGGGGTGTATTTTTGTGTTTGCTCTTCTGTTTCATTAGACTATGTGTCTGTTTTCATGGCAGTGCCATACTGTTTTTTTACTATAGTTTTGTAGCATATTTTAAAGTTGGGTAGTGCAACATCTCTAGTTTTGTACTTTTTTGTTAAAGATTTCTTTGGGTATTTGGGAATTTTCATGGTTTTATACAAACTTGATTGTTTTGTACTGTAGTAAAGTATGACATTAATATTTTGAGAAAGCATGCACTATATCTACTGATAACTTTAGGTAGTATGGACATTTTAACAATAATCCTCCAATTCATGAATGCAAGATGTCTTTCTGTTTACTTGCATTCTTTCAATTTCTTTTTTGTAGATCATCAGAGAGATTATTTCCTGGTTAAATTTATTTCTAGGTATTTGTTTTGGTAGCTAGTATAAGTGTGATTTATTTCTTAAATTCCTTTTCAGCTAGTTCACTGTTGGCATATACACATGCTACAGACTTTTGTATGAAGGTTTTGCATCCTAAAACTTGACTGAATTCATTTATTAATTCTGATAGCCTTTTAGCAGAGTTTCAATATTTTTCCATGTATGTGATCACATCCTTCTTCCAACGGGGGCAATGGTATGGTGTTGCCTCCTTTCCAATTTAAATGTTTTGTGGGCACGTTTCAGATAGATGAGGCTTAAGTGTATCAGTCACCTTTTCTGTTTCTAAACATAGTACTGACATTCACAACTTAAAAGAGGAAATGTCTAATTTGCCTCATGTTTGGGGGAATTCAACTCATAGTCAGCTGGCTCCAGAGCAGGAACATTATAGGTATGGTGGAGCAAACCTGACTAGTTTCATGGTGGCTGGGAAACAGAGAAGGGGCACAGTGCTGAACAGGAACAGGCTTGGAGCCATACATAACACTCAGGTTCACCCTCGTGATTCACCCTGACATATCCAGGAGCATGCTCTACTAGTCTGCTAAGTCCTTCTTAATCTAATGAAATTGACAAATCAGGATTAATGGTCATACTAAGGTATGATGTTCAGTAGGTGACTTGCATTAAATGCATTTTCAATTCATGATGACATATTCAGGATGCAATTACTGTATAAATCAAGAGGCTTCTGTAATATGTTTCAATGTTTTATCTCAGAGTTCATTCCTAGTTGGGATGTTCAGTAGTACTGGATGTTGGTTTTCTCTGGTCACCCCTGGTAGGAAAAGTTATACATGTTGACAAGAAATGAAATGTAACTCCTAGTGTCCAACCTGTTGAGTAGAATAACATGTCATGTTAAATACTGTCATCTGGAGCCTAACAATCAGGCTTTTGTGCAAACTACACCAATTTTTTGCAGCCTGTCTTTTCTTTGTTTCTGTTTTTGTTTTTGGGACTGGGGATTGAACTTGGGTCATTGTGCTTGTGAGGCAAGCAGTGAAACCACTGGGCTAAATCCCCAGTCCCAACCTGTCTTTTAAATATGTCATGTACAGTCTCCCTCCAAATTGAAAACTTTCTCACTTAAAATCAATTTAATTTTTAAAACCCATTTTCCTTTGATCTCTTCTTTGTTTCCACCTATCCTAGAGTCCATAATTCTCCAGGAGTCCTTCCCTTACTGCTTGCCTTGGGCTGTACTAGTTCCAGGTGAAATCTGAGTAGTTATCTGGCTTCCCCTTGGTTTGTCAGAGGGAAGAATGAACTTCTTAATAACATAAACATTGATCGTGATAAGTCTTGGACTAGTAGTCCTCAGAAATGGACCATGGTATCAGCCCACTCTCTATGGCAGATAGCACTTAGTCTACATTTCGGCTTTTTCTTTTTTATCATAGACTTATACAATAGCAGTGATTGATTATGGGAGAATGGATTGATCACTTGACAAAATTTCAATTTTTAGTAGTAATATCACAATATACAAGGATTAATTCTTTAAAAATGATTGGGTATACACATTTTCCATGCTGAAATATTTCAAGACTGTCCGTGGGCATGGTAAAATTTTGATTGACTTATTCAAAAGGTGTAGGTTAAAAACATACACATACCACTAAGTTCCTGGATGACCTTTCCGAGATATTGTCTTTCTCAAAGTGTTAGTTTCTAATCTCAAAATAAGCATACTCGACAAAACCAAAGTAGAAGCCACTTGTGCACTCTATGCTTAATTAATAATCCAAGCATTAGTCATTCATTTTTTTCTCCAAAATATAGATGTAACTTCACAGTCTTTTATAGCTCAGCACTCAGGCGATGATCATTATTTCATGAGATTTTATGTAATATAGAAAATCCATGTGTTATCTCTGAATAGCAGATTTCAAATAAGGTTCTAATATATTATGGCTTTTTGGTACACCCAAAGAAAATTTAAAGATATTTATCTGATAATTTTTTTTCTATTTGTTACATTTCATGATATTTTTTTTCTGTTTTCAAAGCTTCAAGTCAATTTACTCTTCATAACAAAATGGAAGACAGTGAATTTTGTTTTTGTGTATCAGCTAGCAATAGCTCCACAACAAGCCCACATATAACTCAGTGATATAAAATAATAACTATTCATTATTGCCCACCAGACACAGAAAGGAAAACATGGGGAAACTTTAATCAATGGGTACTAAGTCAGAGTTAGATAAGAGTAACAAGTTCTCTTATGCTAGCATGTAAAAGTGAATGGGTACTTTATATTTTATAGAGCTAGAAGAATTTTGAATGTTTGCATCATAAAGGAATGAAATATTTGAGGCAACAGATATGTTTAAACATAGCCTCATGAGGTCTTACATGCATGCCAACATATTCATGGTTTATTTCAAGAGCTATAGGAGAAACTGAATACTTATTCAATGTCTCCCATCTTAGATGGCAAAGATATAGAATAATTCCAACACTGCAAAATGTTCTACTTGACAGCTCTGTATAGAAGTTTCATTTGCCAGTAAACTCTCTATACCAGTGTAATTGAAACTGTGGGCACTGATGAGCCTGCTAAGAGGAAAAAGTAGTTAGAAGATGCCCTTATTTTGAGGAGCTCCAATACTTAATGGAAGCAAGAGGTGGAATAAGCCTACAAATGAGGCAGAAAAAAAGTGACTTGAAGAGTAGAAAAAAATTCAGCATAGTGACATCAAAAGGCTGAAGATACCTTTGGATTCAACAATCGGTGGTATTATCAATGGCTGTTTTAATAGAAGAAGTTCAAATTACAAATGAACACATCCAAACCCAGTAAATAGTAGAGAAGTCAGATGCAAAGGAAAATAATAACAGATAATACAGGGTACTGAAAGATCTTGATACTTTTGTGGATTTTAAAAAGGAGAAGCAGTCATAGGAAGAATGTATTGAAAGAGAGAGAAGACAAGTTTACATGGCAAAGTTTCAAAAGATTTGGGAACCTTGGGTTTCTATGGGGGCCCACCTGCCAGGTGAGTCACTTTCACTATGACGTGTTTATACTCCTGAAGGAGTTGGGGGTGGGAATGTAGGATAAATAGGATCAATTCTAGGGACTTATAGCAGGGACATCCAAGGAGTGAATATATGGGGAGGTAGCAGAATGGGTTGGGGCCATTCTAGATCTGAGAAGAAGAAAAGATAACAGAAAGAAAGGGTAGGTGCTGGAGGGCTGAGACATCTATGTTCTCATGTATGTGAGCACAGGAGAGATTTGTAGGATGCAGGCTTAGGCCAAAAGAGAAACATTAGAATTTCAAATCCTGAAATGGAACACATCCATTTGCTGAGATTTCAGTGAATTGCTAAGGAAAGATGATGAACGTTGAAGAGTAAACCACATAAGTGTGTTATTAGTCTTAAGATGGCCAGGCTTGAGGCAAAAATATAAAACCAATGGTGTTCTAGAGCTCCAGTGAATATTGGAGACAAGGGTTGAGCTGCAAATATGGCAAAGCCTAATGAAACTGTATTCAGTATGGGAAAGTTGTGGTCTAGAATTGGTGAGCAGCCCTGATGTGATTTTTTTCTTTTTATAAAATGGTAATTGTGTTTTTCCCTGAAGGCCATTTGTTCTTGTATGGTGCACTGCTTATAGGCTGTGCCTAATGAGTGATATGTGCTTGAGAAAAAATAAATAGTTTTCTTCCACTGTTTGTTGAAATGTGCCAAGTTGCTAGTGCTGAGACTATGTCAAGTTTAATCAACAGTGGGGATCCTCTGGTTAACATCAGGTGATAGCTGGTGGATGAAAATGCGCTGTGATCACGTGTGGTTCTGGAACAACCAGAAATTCCACCTGGAACACTGATCTCTCTGACCTCACAGAAACAGTTTCACTGATGAGTACAATCCGTGTGTACCAATGGATCCAAGGACATTTCTCTTACCTTGCTAGGCAAATGTTTGAGCAGTGGGATACCACTATGATTTGAAGAAAAGTAGTGATGTATTACTAGAGAAACTTCAGTTGCCAGGCTGGGTCACCAGAGTTTATGCCTCACAGGTATCCACAAAGAGAAAGCATGTGCCTCAGCATCTGGGAAGCCACATTTCTAATGTGAGCACATGTCTCAAGGAAATCGATCAAGTCCAAAACTATGTGGACAGCATTTTATAAAGTGAACAGAATCTCATCAGCAGAGACAAGTCAGCAGGGAGACAGCCTTAAAAAAGCTGTGCCTGGCATAAACCAGAACTCTAATGTACTGGAAAGTTTGCTAATATAAAGAATGGAGGAAGGGTGCACATAGGAAGATAGGAATTTGAGAATTAAAGATTTTACTGCAAGTCAGAAATATGGTCCCATAGTTTTTATTGGGCCATAAGCAAGATTTGTTTGCATTTTTCTAATATAGTAGGAAGTCTCATAAAGAATTCCCTCATGGTTCCTCAGCTCTTAAAGTCACATCTTCTATCTCTGTAAGTCACCCCTACTGTATAAACTTGACATGTTTAATTGTCCACAGAACACATTTATGACAAGTGGGCTAATTAGGTATTTGTTAGTTCTTACCACAAAGTTATTACTTTAAATCATGAAATCAGATGGGAATCTACTTTCCCAAATCAGGAAGATTGACTGGACGAATGATTCTTAAAAAGCACTTAGCCCAGACTTTTATGTCTCATAAAACTAGTTCTAGAAATGTTTTCAGATTTTTATTTACTGCAAGATTAGTATCTGTTATTGTAAGAGCTATTTAACCTAATAGATTGCTGGGTTCCACGGCAAGAAGTAAGGAAATATAGAAAAATAGAGCACATTATAGCTTCATGATTTTTTGAAGTTTTGTAGGAATATTTTCTATGCTCAGCACAATGGAGGCAGCAAGAAATAATTGAGCCAATTTTATCCTATATTCTAGGAAAATCTAGTAAATCGCTTTCTTGTTACAGAAGTTTTTAAAAAAGTTTGCTTCATGTGTTAGTTAATTCAGTCATTCAAATAAAACTATAAAGAGGACTAATAGATAACTCGAGTCATGGCCACTTTTAGGGAGAGATAGAAAGGGAAAAGACAGAATGAGGTCATTGATAAGAATTTGAAGTATAATAATTTTGGAGGTAATGTGAGAGGAAAAGAGTCATAGCCCAGAAAGGAAAGTGAGTAGATCAGAGACCAAAAAACAAACTCACAGGGTTGGATAACATTTCATTCTTCCTCACAGTAGTGACATCTGTGTCATACCACACAAACTAGAAAGGGAACTTCCACTTGGCCTTCCGGATGAAATGGGGAATGAGGTAAGAAAGGGAGAGAAGAAGGGATTTGACACAGTTGACATCACAGAGAAGGGGGTAAGAACATCAGCTGGGTTGGAAGAATGGAGATGTAGGTCCCTGGGCTACAGACCAGAAATTGGTAAACTATAGTAGTGACACAAATGCTTCTCAACAAATGCAATTTTTTTTAACCGAGTTCTCCACTTTTCTTTGTTTAAGGTACACTGCACTGGGCCAAGCGTGTTTTTCTAAAACAAATTAAACACAGTTAAAAGATTTTGTACAAAGATATACAAAGTTGTGAAAATCCTCATCGAAAAACATTGTTAATTAAGCAATTACAGTTATTTTTTATTAATGACCAAAGAACTAATGTTTTAGATACACAGAGTGCAGGTTTTGCTAAAATAAAAATTTTAAGAGGGCTTATTTTGTGTTAGTTATATTTTAATCATTGCTGAACAAATTCATATTTATGCTTGAGGAAAAAGAGCTAGAAGAATTCAAAGTCATACATATGGATATATATGTATGACGTATTTTTTTCATTGCCTTTCAGAAAAATTATTCTTTAAGTCATATTTTTCCAGTGACTGTTTCCAAGTTTTAAAGTAATATTTCACAAGCCCCATTTATCATAGCTTTGATAGTGTTCTGTTTCAGTCATGGTCATGGCTGCTGAAAGGCACACGGAGTGACCTTAGCTTTGGTGCCCACTTCCCATCCAGGAGTCATTGCTTTTAGCCACTCAGATCTGAGTCTCAGTAATAGTTTGGGTGTGAAATGTTTTCTGAAGGCCCCCATGTTAAAGGCTTGGTTCCCTGGTGGCTCTAATTGAAGGTTGTAGAAATTTCAGAAGGTATGGCCTGGTGGGGAGTGTAGGTATTTGGGGAATCTGTATTCCACCCCATTTTAGTTATTCAATAGGTATTTGTTTTGACACGTATTGAAATTAGTATCAACTGAGCCTATTTTTCTCTGACAATCCAATTCTATAAGTAAGCCAAAAAGGACAGTTTGTTTATAATTCTTTGTATCATTTTATTAGTCAGTTTTTCATCACTGCAATGAAAAATCTGAAATAATTAACTCATAAAGCAGAAAGGTTTATTCTGACTCCCAGTTTTGGAGTTCCAGTCCAAGTTTGGGCAGAGTCACTGTGTACCTCCAGTAGATGCTCTGGATGGAAATATCAGGAGGCATATGGCAGTAGGAATTGCTCAGCTTGTGCTCAAGAAGCAAGGGAAGAGGAAGAAGAGAGGGCCAGGAAGCCACAGTCCTCCTAGATTTTATTATCTCAAACAGCTTGTACTTGCTCAGTAGTCAGGTACTGCCTTGCTTTTCCCCAGGATTCCCACTATGTGGACCTTTGGAGTTGTGAAGCTGTATATATTTAGGAACGATTGTTAAAAGGAAATGGAGCGGGGGGTGTGATTCTTGTTCTGACTGGCCAGATGATAACACTATGCAGCAGGTTTTCCACAGGTCACTGCAACTCCTGTATCACCAAGTATACACTGAAATGAGAAATCACATTGCCTATATTCTATGTAAGTTGTCCATGATGTTATCTTCCCAAGGCCAACGATCTTGTCAAAAAAAGGTTTTTTTCAAATTATTTCCAAATGTATAGAGGAAAATAAAGATAGCACACATTTGCTATCTAACAAGTACCAAGGGCTATCCTAGATTTTGAACTTCTGCTAGTAAAATAAAACAAATAAATCACTTAGCCTTGTAGCATATAAAATCTAGTTGGTATAAATTAACTCCAGATTTTGGCATATTGGCTTATTTTGATTTACAGTGTTGTGAGCCATTTTTTGATCATATCTTAGCATATATTCATGGAAATTTTTTTCATGGAAATTTTTAATAAGAAATGTAGAAAACAGATTTTTTTGGTTAGATGATTGTAGTTCTTAGATCCTGTCAGAAGCATTTTATTTAATGCTGTTCTCCTCCAATATTGGAAAAAAGTCATGCTACTACAATATTTCTGCATCTTCCCTTTCTTTTTACTTATAAACACAATTACTTAATGCCTTAAGATTTGAGAATGTGTATTACTGCTTAGTCCCAGAAAAAAGCAAGAATAGAAAATATGTAGAATCATTAAAATTTTTTAAAATTTTTTATACTTCTAAGCACTGCTTTATAGTTCTATGTTACCATATTGAGATATAAATTGAAACCACTTCAAATTTAAAAATTGAAACCAGTTTTAAGTTGTGTTCTCAGATTTTACCTTTGAGCTTGGAAATAGACTATACTTTGCCAACACTTAACCTTCACTAATCTATATGCCATTTTTGGTCCTCAGACCTTTCACTTAAGTAAACTATAAATATCTTTGAGACAAATTATGTGGGTATCAACACATTTGATATTTGAACATTAATTCTCACCTGAATATGCATATTTATTAAATGTTAATACATATAAATCTAAAGGTTTTAATTTGTTTTTGAATAATAAAGTGTTATTACATTTTTCAAAATGCTTCTTTTGTAATTATGGGTCAACACTGTCTGGTATAAAATTTAAAATTCTCTCCAGAAAACAAAACAAATCTTTTTTTTTTCTTCCGCTCTGTGAGGCCTGTTTCCATGTCACTATATTGCTTTCTTTATAGCCTGGCTGATTATGAAAGTGTTTGGCAATGAACAAGATGGAACTTGAGGACAGATCTGGGATGGAAAATTCTCACAGTAGGGCCTGCTGACTTGATTGCATTATCACCATGGCAACACTCATCGGTCAGTGCAGCCAGGTAATGAGATGGCTTAGTTCAATTAGGGTTTAAAGTTTTCCTCTACTACTGTGTATGAAATTTACAAAAGCATTTGTTTAAAAATAGGCCACACTCTGCTATGACAGACTCATAAGATAATCTTGTGTTCAATAGAGTACACACACAAAGGTAAGCGAGCAAACCTATCTCTGGGCTCTTCCATTAATTTTTCCTTGAAAAAAAGAAAGCAGAATGCTTAATATGCCTCTGAAAAAAAGTAACATGTTTATAAATTCTGATTAAATATATTTGGGAAATAAGTTGAGATATTTACACAGAGCTCATTTGGGCTTCACTTATTGTTAGGCAGCCTGGCTCTAAAGAGAGCTCCATCATTTTGGGTTGGAGTTTTGAAGATGCTGCCCACAGGCTGACAAATGTCTAAAAGGAATCAGCTTATGCTCATAGTTCAGTTTCTACTCCCATTTCCCACTTCTTCCAGGATATTCTTTCTAAATGACACATAAAAAATGGTGCCCACTTATTGGGGGCCATGTGATGTTCTGCTTCATGTGTATTTTGTGTAATATTAAGATAAGGGGAAATGTGTTCTCATCTATTCCATGCTTGAGACTGACTTCTTCTTTCTCCTCTATGAAGTGCAAAGCTGACCTCCCAGTGACATGCAAAATAGAGACCAGGGCAGACATTCCAACCACTCCACCTGCAAGCATCTGCATCTGTTTTACATGTTTAAGGTTGCTTTCCATATCTACTTTTTGTCCTTTCTCCTGAGTTTTCAATCTACCTCTGTGAGCCATCTCTGTTGGTTCTTCTCATTAGCAAATATATACACAAATTTTCATATGTTAAAAACACCAAAAGAACATAATAGAATATGTGCTCTTGGTTTTTAACACTTTTTTTTTTTATTCCTACCTTCAGGACCAAACTTATTTGAAAAAGAGTGGTTTATTTTCTCACTTCCTTTTGACTTGCTGAAATTTGTCTCTTTCTTCACTGTACTGAAATAGCTTTCAGTGAAATCAGGCACTGTACTTAATGAGGCACCAGATATTAGACTGCAATCGGTTACACAATATGGAGTAAAAGATGTCCTTGTCCTCAATGCATTCACAAATCATATTTCTGATATACCTATCAGCACTGAACTTTCTCCCTATGAAATTGTCAGTGTGTACGAGTTTTCTCAGCCTGTGGGTGCTGAAGTGCCTTTGTCATTCTCCCACGCAGATCGCCTTCCTCTAGCAGCTCATTGGCGATGCACTACACCAAACCTTGTCTATTAATTTCACTGGACTTTCGATTCAGTAATGCTTTATTTACATACTTATTATTTCACCACCAAATACTGCCTTTAAATTTGTTGTGGGTGGGCTGTCCTTATGTTTTTTTGTTTTGTTTTGTTTTTATACCAGGGGTTGTGGGGGGGGTCGGACTCTACCTTGTGCTTGCGAGGCAGGAGTGGAGCTATTGAGCTAATATCTGGCCCTGTTTGTGTTTTATTTTTTTATTTTTTTCAGCTTTAATTGAGTTTATTGGTACATTTTAGGGATACAGTACTGTTACATTCATTGTTGGGATCTTGTACCTCTACATGACAAGTCTTGCTTCTCATTTTATTCCCCTTACCCCTGCCCTCCCTTCACCCCCTTATGTTTTAATTAAACTCTGTGTTTTGAGAGTATTAGAGATTTTCTTGTTAAATAAAAGAGTGAATAGAAGAGAGGAAAAGAGGGGAATTGAAATGTGTTATGTACATGTACCAATTTTCTACAGTGAATGTAATCATTATGTACTGTAAAAAGGTACTAATAAAAGCAAATAAAATAAAATTTAACACAAAATAAAAGCAAACAAAATTCCCATAAAAATACACAGATAATCTTCCTGAAGACCAATTTATTAGTTTTTTTTCTTTTATTGATCATGATTTTATATCAGAACTATGAATTATTTTTGCTTAGTTGATTCCAAAGATTCTCTTATTTTCTAAAACATGAGCAACTTTTTATTCTTACATTTTACATATAAGTATATAGTACATTTTGAGTTAATTTTTATGTGGTACAATATGGGGTCAACGATGATATTTTTATTTGCTTGTAGATATCAAATTGATCAAGCACTACTTATTGAAATAATATAATTTTCACTTAGCTATAAATTCCCTAGTTTCTCATTCTTTGTGGCTGAGTAGTATTCCATCTTATAAAAAAAAAAACATGCATCTTCTTTATCCAGTATCCAGCTTATGGCAATTAGACTGTTTCCAAGCTTTAGGTATTACAAACTGTGCTGCTATAAACATGGGTGAGCATATATTAGTGTGCTATGATACTTTTAATTCTTTTGGGAAGATGCCCAGCAGGAGAATAGCTGGATCACATGGGACTTCCAATCCTAGCTGTTTAAGGTATCTTCGTATTGTTTAAGGTATCTTCCATGATGGTTACACTCCCACCAACAATGAAGAAGGGCTCCTTTCTCCCCACAACCCTGTCAGCATTTGCTACTGCTTGATTTCTTGATAGAAGCTATTCTGTGTGGGACACACATGTGTAAACACCGAATAGTTTCTCTGGTGTGATTAAACTAAACATGTAAATAAGAATAAAAATATATAATTGATATTGTGTAAAAGGAAAAAGGTCTAAATGTGTAGGGGAAGTGGGAGGGGTAAGGGAAAGGTATGAAGGGAACAGAAAGAGTAAGAAAAAATGGAAAAAAAAGTCTTTATAAATAGGGAAGGGTGGAGAGGGTGAAGGGAGGTCAGAGGAATGGGGAAAAAAATAAGAACCAAGATACATCCTGTAAAGAAACAAGATCCCAATGATGAATGTAACTGCACTGTATACCTAAAAATGTACCAATAAAGGAAAAAAATATATAATTTTCATTGAGTTACTTCTAAATTTTTGTCAAAATCAGTTACTATGTTTGTATGGTTGTATTTCTGGGTCTTCATTAAATTCACTTATCTTATGTTTCTATCCCTGTGTCAATACCATGCTGTCTTGATTGTTGTTGCTATATATGCTGTCACGGAATCAGATGCGGTGATTTTTTCCTGCTTTATTCTCCATTATCAAATTATTTTTTGTACTCTAATGGATTTACTTTTCCATATATTTTAAAAAAAATAATCTTATGTACATCCACAAAATCTGTGGTGTTTTGACTGGACTTATTCTAAACTTCCACATCAAATTAGAGAAAGCTGGCACCTCTATCAGTTTCAGGCTTCTAACCCATAAACTCCCTGCGTCTCTCACTTGATTTCTTAAATCAGTGTTTTATTGTATTTTTGTCACCTCTTGCTGTTCTTAACAATTGCTTCTACCCCATGGATTCAGTTTAGAGCTATAAACCAGTGGCTATAGAACCTTCAATACAATTTCATCCCTCACCATTTTTTCCCCTGCATATCACAGCTGGATTCACCTTGTCACAGATAAAATTCAACTTTCTTTGCCAGACTACTCCTTCTTTTAAAGTTACTGTGAGGTATTCGTTTCTTAAATTAGAAATCTGGGATTTAATATATATAGCTTTCATCTACTACAACTAAATGATCACAAAGACAAGTGCGCTCATACCAAAAATCCTTCTGATCTACGCTCTCTTCTTCCTTAATGCCAGTATTTCACAGTTCCCCTCTCAATCTACATATGGCAGTAAGACCCTACCAATCCGCCTGTCTCTACACGATATTTTTTAATGATGAATACATGAGCTCCAGCTAGACAGATGTAAGGTAATAAGGGAAAGAAAAAATATGAGAAAAGTTGTGTATGGGTACCAGAATTTACTCTTGGGTTTTCTGTGCTTGAACTTGTGAATCTGCAATGGAGATAATGAGTAACTCTGACTTATGTAAACTGCACTCTATGGGCTAGAAAGAGACAGGAGTAAAGCAAAGGAAGAGATAGAAAAGAAATAAAATTTGTTATGTTGTAGATCAAGCAAAAAGCTTCTTTTCATCACCTGGACCAAACCAGCATCTGCAACCCAACATTTCTCTCAGGGATCTTGCAGTTTGTAAGGTCTTCCACCACCCTTAAGTAATCCTGGCCTGTCTTCAGCAAGAATCTTCTTCATCAGTCTATTCATAAACCCCCTCACTCATGATCTTTCTTCCTAGTAATTTTCTATTTACTGAACGCCCCTTCTCCCTGCTCCTCATCAACAAATCCATATATGTCCTCATTGTGCTTGTATCTGAGCCCAATATTGTGTGGTCCTTTTGCCTATTGCTGTGGTCTTGAATAAAGTTAATCTTACCATGCCTAACACACATCTTGGAACAGTATTTTTTCTTTAATATCCTCACAGAAAAAAACCCTTGCATTCTTGATGTTACAGCCATTTTACTGTCATGAAACATTGAGGGATATAGAAACTAATAATTACAACATCTCTTTTTATGGGCGGAAACTAATTTTTTGTGGTGCTAGGTATTGAACTCAGGGTCTCGCACATGTTAAGTGCATGTACCAAAACTGAGCTATATTCTAGCCCCTGTTGGGCAAAATTTTGAATCCTTTTCATGATTATGAGTGCTAGAGGAATCAGACTTTAAAAAAGACACTGGGGCCCTTGAATGGAGATTGCTGTGAAAAAAATAAATGTACACATGTGGTGCAGACTGAGAATCTGAGACAGCAGGTAGAGGGAGGTGTGTTCCATCCGCAGACCCCGTCTTAGCTTCTTGGTGCTGCTGTAACAAAGAACAAACTGCCTGTCTTCAGACAACAGAGATTTATTCTCTTATGGTGTTGAAGATGTCAGTATGGCTGGTTCCTGTTGATATTTTTGAGGAGGAATCTCTTCCATCTCTCTTGTATCTTCTGAAGACATCAGGGAAACAATAATGTTCTTCTCTTAGCGATGCCCCTTCCATCTCTGTCACAGGTCACTCTCCTCCTGTTTTCACATGAACTTTTCTCCTTCCATGTTTTGCCCCTCTTTTTGAAAGGTTACCAGTGGTAGGGATTTAAAAGACCCCTTCCCAACTAGGTCATATTTTAAGGCACTGGGGAGTTAGGATTTCAATGTGTCTTTTTCAGGAGGACACAGTCACAACTCAATCCACAAACTATACCCTTCCAAAAGATCATACATACCTCAGAGAAAGAACTATTGTATAAAAAGGAAAACTTCCTTTACATTGTTGGGACACTGTCAGTTCTATAGAAGGAAACCATCTTTGAAAGCTAGCTATGAAAGCAGAAGCATTTTTCTACTGATGTGGTTAGAAACGAGCACCATAATTTTGGTTTTAAAGTCTCATTGGTGAGATTAATGCTTTTCCTAAAAATGAAAGATGAGAAGAAATTGTCTTTACAGACACCTTGACTGAGGAAAAATAGAAGTGAGTGTGGCACAAAGGGAACTGGAAGGAAGTTTGAGAATATTCTCATCAGGTTCATGTCATACCTTATTTGTATTACCTTTATTTAAAAAATATTTTGGTCATTGTTGTTAGTGTTATTATTATTGTTACAGTGCTGGGGATTGAACCCAGGGCCTTTGCCCTGATCTATATCCCGGGATTTTTTCAACTTTTTATTTTAAGACAGGATCTCACGCAGTTGCTAAATTTCCCTGACTTGGCTCAAATATGTGATCTCCATGCTTCAGCCTCTCAGGGTGTACTACCATGGCCAACGCCACCTAATGTATTTAAAGAAATGCTCTTGTGTAAATGAAGAGGTCATTCTAGTTCCACTTCTTAATTTTTCTCTTAGGACATTCTTCACCTACTTTGCACCTACATTTCTTGATTATCTTAAATCGTATCTTCTTATTTTTAAATTCTTGCTTTTGGATCTTCTTTTCCCACAGGCATTCTAGGATTAAGAACAGAATCATTCAGTAAAAGGTAAATTTTATATATTTAAAATGTTTTTTTTGTTCTCGTTGGTCATTACTGAAAGATTAAAATAGTCCTAAACATTTACCCCTGATAGATGGTTGAATTGCCCTCACCTGTAGAGTTCATTTTGGTGATGGCCAACTTTCCTTTCTTCAGTAAGTTAGCCTGATTTTTATTTTTATTATATTCACCTCTATTGCATTGGAGACAGATTCTGTCCTAATTATTGTGTTTTCTTGCTTGGCTTTTGAAATCCATATTACACATATATGAAGCCAAATTCTAGCTTGTTGTGTTTGAGGCTATTTCTGCCTATACAATTTTGCCACATTCTAGTGTTAAGGATTATGTTTACCATCATTCAGAGTTCTACCATTGGCTGCTGCTCTTCCAGTTTGTTTGGATTTCATGATCTCTGTATGAATGTGCAAAGAGAGAGACAGAAGATGTTTACGGTGAAAAACATTGTTTGCTCCTTAGGAAAAAAAAAAAAACACATGCCTATAGGGGCACCACCCTACATGTATAATTCTATGCTTATAGGGACATAAAATGTGTAGGGACACAACCAATATGTATTTTTAGTGGGATCTTGCAAATGAAGCTTTATTCTTTCCTGGATACATAGGTCACAAGTGGAGTTCCTCAGTGGAAATCCATTATATTTCAGCTAGTGAAGATACTTCTATTTCTAGTAGTACATCAGTAACCTTGTACTTTCTTATGTGTATAGTTACTACATGTAAAATAGGAAAAGTTGCATTGAAATTTACTAGCTAGTTGCATCATTATCTTTATAGTCTTTTTTTTTCCTATGAGTAAAGATGCCTTAATTCTCTGAGTCTATAAAGTAAATAAAAAGTACATTTGGTAAGAAGATAAAATTTCTCAAGAGAAATAATAAATTCAATTAAATGTACTTCAAAACAGTAGTTCCCCAAAGATGTTGAAATCAAGTGTGTTGGAAATTATTTTTATAGGCAAAGATTCAAAAAGAAATTTAAATCTAATGAAAAATAAAATTTCTAGGGGTCAGAAGGGAATAGACCATGTAGTCATGTGGGTTGCCATAATAAGCTTCTTACCAGAGAAGGCAGCTTTGGGAAAACATTTGCAAAGTATTTTGACAAAATGTAAGATGAATTCACATAGCTATTATGGTGACAGGAGAAAAAGATGGTTTTGAATCTGAAAAACATGTCTTTGAGTTAGCCTAGATAAATAAAAACAATTCAATAATCTCAAATAAAACTATGTTTTAAGGTCATTGGACTTAAAGAAAATAGTCATAATTGTTTGTAGACCTTGTCCAAACTGCAGTTCTAGCCTTGTTGGTAAATTTTCAATAAATTTATTCACAGTGCATTGGAATAGTCACAATACCAAATGAAAGAACTCAGGATTCTAACATTCTGGTTTTTCCTCTGTTGTAATTTCCCACAAGCTTCAATTGATCTTAATGTGAAGGATGATCTCAAATGTTCACATATTGCTACATATTTTTAAATGTTGAGAAAGTGATGTGAAGCATAACAAAGAGATTAATAAGAATTGAATAACTTTACGTAAAACATTAAGTATGTCATTAACAAGAAGGAATATCACTACTAGATTTTTTAAATATTTTTTACTAAACCATATTATTTCCAGATATAATTGCATGGTTCATTTTGTTTTCAATCAAAAGAGTATCCAGTATATTTTCTATTTCAAATACGTGCTGGAAAACTAATATCAAGCTTCTGCTCTGGCTTCTTAAGAACTACTGTGCTTCTTCTAATACATTTTTATCTATATTAAATATGCATAATTAATTGCTATTTGCACTTTTTTAACAAGAAATAATTATTTGAATAATATTGTCAAAAGCTGCGCAGTATCTACACCTCAACCATATACTTCTAAATGTTCTTCAGATCCTAAGAATTGTTTTAAAAATGTATGACCATTTAGACCTTTAAAGCTTAGTGCATTAAGTCATATCATAGGGGGAAAATCTTAGCTAGGAGAGGTGGTGCATGCTTATCTCAGCACTCAAGAAGCTGAGGCAGGAAGATTGCTGCCCATTAGAGACCAGCCTGGGCTACAAAGTAAATTCAAGGCCAGCTTGAGCTACATATAAGTACCTTTTCTTGAAAACATTAATCAATCAATTAATTTAAAAATTCAAAGAATAAAGTCCACAAAGCCATGTGAGGCAAATATTATCTAATTCTCTTTTTATAAATAAAGTAATTTATTTGACCAAATAGGGACATTTCATAATCAAGAAGAACTAGATATTTAAATTTATTTTCTAAATTTTAAAATCGTACTTTTAAAACAAAATTACTGTCTTTTAATTGGCCTGGGGGTTTTTGTTGTTGTTGTTGTTGTTGTTGTTGTTTGTTTAATATCATTGATTAACCCTAGTACTTTAATTAACATTATAACCCTTTGGCAAACTGATGAAAGCTAGCTTTTAAAGGAATGGAGAAAAATGCACCAATTTTAGCAGAAAGACAAGTCTAACCTATATCTTGCAGGAGGAAGAGCTAGGAAGTAGCTTTAACCTGAGGTTTGGAACAGAATGGAAAAACAATGTCACTAAAGCAAAATCATGATAGAGGAATACAACAGAAATGAAAAATAGGGCAAGAAAAGAGATTGCTCTGCCAGGTCATAAAGATGAAAGCAAACTTACCAGACACTTGTTGGTTTATTACAGTAGCAAACTGAGATCAGTGAGCAATAGTTTGGTCATATTATGTTGCCCTTGTGATGCCAGCTTCTCCCTTATATCCTATACCACAGCTGTTCCATCCTACAGCCCTAGGAACACCATCTGAAAACAGGATAGAGACATGATCTTTATCAGGAGTTTTGTTCCCTCTAAATTATAAATTCAGCATGGCAGTGAGTGGGGAGGTGGGTAAAACACTGGGTAAAAACTGAAGTAACTTGGCAGGGTGGCCTTAAGCAGGCAGTTACAGCACAGGCTCAATGTAGTACTTAGTGAGCATAAAGTATCTCCGGTCCATAGTCTTCAGTGCCAGGTTATAGCCTCATCAATGAGACTTTCCAGAGTCTTGTTCCTGATCTTTAAGTGTAGATAGCACTGATTATTCATAAGTGACTCACAGGGAAGCTCTGGCTGTTCAGTGTGATATGCATTCCTATGTGTATTCAAGAAATAATACAAATTTAAAAATAAAACTCACAAGTACTAGTGTTTCAAGCTTTGCATTATATTATAACAGTAAGAAAATAAAAAGATAAGGTCCCCTTTAATATAATACTACAGGCAACACCCTAATGTTTAAAGAGAGATTCATATTTGTAGTCAAATTACAATGGAAATCAAGGGAATAATAAGAACAAAATTTGTTTTAGGAATAAGGTGTATGCATGATATCATGAGTAGTATGAGGGGATTTTAATATGTTAATGTTCTGTTCCTTAAGCTATGTTCACTGTATTCTGCATAACTTATAAAGCTTATACATTTATTTAGATGTAGAAATATTTCATATTTAAAATTATGTTATGTCATGAAAGGCAAGCAGATCATTAAAATATAACAGATAGCTCAGAAAGGGACCCACATAAATACAATTTGTTCCTTTGTTAAGAAAAAAGGATGGAGAATGGACAAAAGATAGTCCCTTTAACTAATGGTGCTAGAAAAACTGGATATCCATATTTTTGAAATGTAATGTAGACATAGACCTTATATCCTGCACAAAATTTAATTCAAAAGGTATTATAGACCTAAATGTAAAAATGCAAAGCTATAAAACTCCTAGAAGGTAATACATAGGAAAAAAATCAAATAAGCTTTGGTTTTTTATATAATATGGAAAAATTCACTTGTACTCCAATAAAATGCAACTACTGAGTGATACAGACCAGAAAGCAGACTAAAAGGGCATAGGTGTTTCTTACACAGAGACACATAGTTGAAAATACTAGATCTTTGTATATATGAATACTTCTATGATAACTCTAGAAACCAACTAAGAAGTATAGTACCCCATTGTAAGACCAAGAAATCCTTCCAGAGGAAAAGGGGTAGAAAGTTATGCTATTTTTTCCATCCACATTTGTGCTACTCTACCTATGTGGTATAGTATGGGATTACTGGGATAAAACAATACACATAGGGCCCTTCCATTGGGATGGAACTAGAGGAGTGGAGGAGCTTCCAACAGTTTAGCTTAGCTGGTGCTACTGAAGGGACTGATTGCTGTTTTGCCTGTTTTGGATCACTGATGAACTAAAGGAGAGTTTGGGAGCTGTTGAAAATAGACAAGCACCATAATAGGTTGATTTGTGGATATATAGCCAGATGTCAGGGACCAAGAGATCAGAAATTGATGCACTCTGAGACCATAATGTTAAGTGGAATAAATCAGACACATGGGCTTAAATATCTCATGGCTTGTCTTACGTGAGAAACCCAAAATGTAAATAAAGGACAAAATAAAAGATAAATAATAGAAAGGAGGGATATAGAACTTTTATAAAAGGAAAGGTGACCAAGAGATGGAGGAAGGGGGTAAGTGGGGAGGAGATGAAAAGAGAATTCAGATGTGTTATATACAATATATCATTTGTAATCATGTAACATATAAATCCATAAATCATGTATAATTACATATATTTTGTCATATACTATATATCATATTTATCACATATCTAAAGAAATAGAGAAGCATAGCTAAATCAAAGGAATAAAGTCAAATTACAAAGACTAAGTTGGTACAGATTTATGAGCTGACTGAAAGCAGTTACTGTCTTGGAAACAGTTGATGAGTGTCACACATGATGAAGCAAAACTGAGTTCAGCTACTTTGGAGGCTGAGGCATGAAGACTCCAAATTCAAGACCAATGTGAGCAACTTAGTGAGACATGGCCTCAAAATGTTAAAATAAAAGACTAGATAGATAGCTCATTGCAAGGCCTGGATTCAATGCCAGTACCCACTCAACAAACATACACAAATTCAATGATCTAAAAGAGAATAC